CTCCTGTTTGTTTCCTCCCTGCCTTTGCATCTCTTTGTTTCAACTTCCACTCAAACTGTGCCCGATAGTCCCAACTCTACACGACACCTAACTTCCCTCCTGCAGGCCAGCCCCTCTGGGTTCCCAGCTGGCCTGTCTCCTCACCAGCCCACATTTCAGGGGCCATCCCCTGCCCTAGGGCTTGTTGAAGCCTCACAAGTGGGTCCAGTGGGCTAGAACTCACTGAAAGGAAATGCATTCTGGGCTGACAGGTCCCTACCCCAAGGCAGCTCCGGAGCATTAGCCCCTGGGGGCATGAAACACCAGTTAAGATCTTTCTTCTCCTCTGTGGTGGGAGGACAAGGGACCCAAATTGAGGTTTTAGAAGCCTGCTACAGCCCAAGCTAAACCCCTTAAAATTATTGCCCAAAAATTGGGAACAGAATGGACCAAAGAGGGGGTTAAGGCCTGAGAGTTTGCTCCAAAAGCGAAGGCTCTTTTTTTTTTTTTTGGTGGGGGGAAGTTTTGAAACAGTTTTGTTTCTCTGTGTAGCAGCCCTGGCTGTCTGTCCTGGAACTCACTCTGTAGACCAAGCTGGCCTCAAACTCACAGAGATCTGCCTGCCTCAAGATTAAAAGCATGTGCCACCATCCAGCAAAAGCGAAGGCTCTTAATCTCTAAAGAGCCATGGGATCCTGATGACAGGTTTGTAGCTCTCTCTCCAAGGGGTCCTGAAGGGCAACTCACACATTCCCACACTGGCACGGACAACCTTCATAATGTGTTTTATGTCACAGAATACCTAACCTACAAATTTAAAAAAAAAAAAAAAAAAAAAAAAACGTTGGTAATAGAAAGACTCTAGATGGGGTTGGAGAGATGGCTCGGCAGTTAGAAATGCTGACTGTTCTTCTGGAGGACCCAGGTCCAATGCCAGCATCCTTACTTCGGCTCCCGTCTCTCCAGTTTCAAGGGATGGCTTCATCTTGCCTCCATGGGCACCAGGCCCAACAATGGTACAGGGACATTCAAGCAAAACACCCAAACACATAAGATAAATTAAAATTTAAATTAAAAAAAGAGAGAGAGTTAGCCTTTCCGAGGATGAGCCCTTGATATGTTGTCCAGTACAAAATGCTCAGGCCTCAAACCATATACACACATACAACAGAAACAGACTCAACATTTATATTATAATTATATTATATTATATTATAACATTAATTATAGTTACATGTGTGTGTGCACATATGCACACAGAGCAGCGCACACACATACATATATATACATATATATATATATGTAACAGTGACTGGGGAAGAAGACGCTATTAACTTGAGGGGAGACATGGAAGGAGTACAAGTGAGGGAACTTGGGAGGTGAAGGGAAGAAAGGGAAGGGGGAAGGGAGATACTCATATTTTAATTAAAGCATATTAGAAATCTGAGAGCTGATGAGACAACACCCCGTGCAAATCTGGGCAGGGAGAAACTCGTCACTCCCTGGCTCCTGCCTCGATTTACCGCTCAGCCTGCAGCAGGTCTTCCCCGCCTCTCCCTGAACAAGCCTCTCAAAGACTTAGTGCTGACACGGGAGGTCTCTTCAGCCAGCCACCTGACCCCAACTTTTGTGTCTAACTTCCAGCTGTGTGGCCTTGACTATGCCGCTCAACCTCCTGAAAGCTTTAATCACAGGAAACACAAGGTGAGGGAGCTCTGCCCTCCTCAGGCCTTGCTCACCTTACAACTGCTGCGGGGGCGGGGTGAGGGAGCGCTGCCCATGAAATACCGTGTGATGCCAAGGGTATCTTAAGCTGCCTGTGGACGCTGGCTGAGACAGGAAAGAGGCCATGAGCTGAGGACTGGGGATCAGACACTCAGGTTGATGGCTTAGCTTTGTCTCTTTTACCATCTCCTCAGGACCAAAATGGGGCAACACACCATAAAAGTAAGGAGACAAAATCATTCTCAAATATTAAAAACTTGGGTTTAGAACAGGCCACGAATCATGCAGGATGCTCTATGGTGGGCAAATGTCAAGAAACCACAGATTTGTTCTGAGCTTTAAGTTTAACCAGTGAACATCTCTGATGCTCAGGTAAGTGTGTGTCCCAGGTTAACCCATAAAGGAGACAAGGTCACAGGATCAAATGAGGCAACGATTGGAGCTCCAGGGGCTGCTGGAAGTCATTTGTGTGTGCTCAAAGACAACCTGCTTATCTGATCCATCCTCCTAGCAATTACCTGTCGTCGTGTCTGTCCCCACCTCTCTTCCCCAGCTGCTCTGGGGCAGGAGCAGCGTCTGGACTGTATCATCTTCCTAGCATGCCCAGATCCCAGCACGGTGTGTGTCCACAGCACGGCTCCCCAACTGACTGTTGAATGGTGAAAGTAGACATGAAGGACCGCTTAATTTTTACAGATGGAGAGAGTACACTTCATAGAAGAGGCTGCTGGAGTCCTTAGTGACATGGGATGGGGTAGGGACAGTTTTGTAAGCTGGCCAAGGTTCTTTTCCTTCAGGGGTAGACATGACTTCTTTTATTTACCCACAAAAGCCACAGGTAAAAAGCGTTTACAGCTTGGCAGCTAACCAAGGCCACAGGCACTTCAGCACATAACAATCTGACTGTCGACCCATTTGTTTTTGAACAGCATTAATGGCCATATTTTCTACCATAATTTGAAAAATCAACACCTCCATGATGAAAAATTCTGAATTTTGACTTCCAAATTTAGACTACATCAGCTACACCTGCATGATAAGTGCCTCAGAGACTGAATGACTGGAATAGTTGAATACTCGTGAAAAGCATGTTCTCGTCGTACAGTACTTTCGTGGATGCTGCCTTGCTCAGGACTTGCGAAAATGGGCCTGAAACAAATGATGTTCTCTCGAAGTAAGTTGTGCACATGACTTAAATTGTTTATGAGCTGCGTTTCAGGAAAGAAAATTTTAAGTGTATACGTGTGGGATGTGCGTGTGTGTATCTGTGTGTGTGGTGTGGTATATTTCTGTGTATGTATCTGTATGTGTGTGTCTGCTATATGTATGTGTGTCTGTGCTGTGGTATGTGTGTATATGTGTTGGTGTCTGTATCTCTGTATGTGTGGTGTATCTGTGTTTGTGTTTCAATGTGTGTGTGTGTGTGTGTGTGTGGTGTGTGTGTCTACGTATGTGGAGTGTGTGTCTGTGTGTGTGTTTACATGTGGTGTGTAAAAATCCCTCTGCCACTCTAACCATCCCTCCTCTTCATGATGTCTGCCACGCCTGGCTCACCAAGTTGCGACCAGTCTTAAAGGAGGAGGGCAACCAAGGGCAAACAGAGGAGCTGTGAGCTGTAGCCACTTGCACTCCTAACGAGCAGCCCTGCCTGCTTCCCCGCCTGCAGCCTGCTCAGGGCCTCCTGCTCCTCCCACCTTCACAATGGCCACATGTCCCAAACCTCCCTCCAACAAACACCTGCCCACCCCACATGGACAGACCAATGAGTTCACTGCTGCTAACTGAAGCACGGATGACTCGCAGGCAGCTGCATCACCAAAAAGCCTGCCCCATCGTGAGTGACAGCTTATCAGAGTCCTCTCCCCAGAAATGGTTTCCCACATTTCGGGTGGGTATGCGCATGTGTGTGGGGGTGAGTTTGCTCATGTGTTCACATGTGGAGGCCGAGGTCGATGTTCGGGGTCTTGCGCTATCGTTCTGGGGCCTGTGTGCCTCCCATCTTTACAATGACTACATTACTTTTAATTCTTCCCTGGAAGGCATGAACACTTTTTGGTTTTTTGCTTTTTGTTTTTTTGGTTTTTGAGACAGGGTTTCTCTGGCTGTCCTGGACCTCACTCTGTAGATCAGGCTGGCCTTGAACTCACAGAGACCCGACTGCCCCTGCTGAGATTAAAGGTGTGGCTTGAGTCAGGGTCTCTCACCAAACATAGCTGTTTCAGCTAAACTGGGTGGCCAATGAGCCCCCATATCTGCCTGTCTCTACTCTGGAGCAAACCACTGTGCCCCAGAGTTCTGGAAATCTGCAGTCACAGCCTCAGGAAGCTTGAGGCTTCTCAAGCAAGCACTCAGCCCATTGAGCCATCCTCCTTTTATAAGCTTTGCGGGGGAGGGGCTTGTGAATGTTCTAATTTTCATAAGCGTTTTGAACGTTTTGGACCCCATAGGTTCCCATGCCTCCAGTCACTCCTTCTTTTGTCCAGGAGGGAAAGCTTCAATTCTGAGGAAAACGGCTACAGAGCAGAAAGAGCTAGAAAGGAGACACGCAGAGGAGACTGTGGACCAGCCTCCCAGTTCCATCAAGTCTTTGCACTTCTACATGTTCGGTTTTTCCTAAGGAAGAAAATCTTGCAGACTAAAGGCCCACTCTGTGCTTCTCTCTAAGCCCAGGCCCTTCCCTCCCCGTCTATGCCAGGTCTCCATTGCCATGCATGGTTAATTCTTGTACACTGCCTGACTATCGCTGTAACCGTGCACAGCGGAGCCTCGAGTGTTTAAAGGAACATTTTGATTGCCACCCTGCCTGGCCGCTCCATCCCCAGTGTACATATGTTAGGGTCTTACTTTAGCTTCTCTCAGGATAAATTCTATTACGTGAACGCATCACAGTTTACCTGTCTGGAAGGCACCAGCATCTTAAATCCCAATGACTCTTCAAAGTCCTAGCGACTGACATCTCCACCAGCAAATCTGAGAGGTCCCTGCCCCGCACCCTAACTGCCCCAGCTCCCTAAGACGGACAGGCTTTAACTCTTTGCCACACTGGGGACATGAGTGATGCGACCTAGTCCTCCGCATTTGCATTTCTCACATGGCCAGTGAAGGTGAACATCTCCTCATATTTTTGGCCACTTTGGCCATTTGGGTTTCCGCTTTGGGAAATGAACTGTTTCTATCTTTTGCCTGGTTTTAAATTTTAAGTCAGTTTTATTTAACGCCTTTCACCATCAACAGCTCATTAAAAGAAAAAATCCAAGCAGAGAACACAGAACTGCAGCAAACAGCATTCTTATGGGGAAAACATGGAATGGCCATGAATCTGTATGTCATCCTTGCCCAGAGTTCTTAATAAATTTTTCTGTATCTTTCAAATTTTAGTATATGCATTGCCTGAGCAAGCACTGATCACTTTTTATTTATCTATTTATTGGTTTGTCTTTTTGTTGTTGTTGTTGTTTTGTTTTTTGAGACAGAGTTTCTCTGTGTAGCCCTGGCTGTCCTGGAACTCGCTCTTTAGACCAGGCTGGCCTTGAACTCAGAGATCTACTTGCCTCTGTCTCCCAAGTGCTGGGATTAAAGGGGTGCACCACCACACCTGGCTAGCACTGCTTAGTTTTCAGCCTGGATTTGTGTGTATGTGTCTGTGTGCCCGTCCTTTCAATTCCCTCCTCCTGAAATGCATTCCTCCATATTTCTGCATCTATCCAAATGCTGGTTCCTCCGTGGAACTCGGACTCTAAAGCACCATGAATGGCACCTTTCCTGTGCTATCACAGTGCCCTGTCTGGTAGCCTGTCAACACCTCATTCCACACACTGCTGTGGGGTTCACCAAAGCACCTGCTCCTTCCTGAGCCTGTGTTAGTTAACCTTTCTCCAGGCAGAGCACCGTGAGGCGGAGTACCGTGGCCACCACTAGAACATGGTATATAAACCTTGGGGGCTAGCTCACCCACAGTCCCTCTGCTCAGATGGAGGTCTGGCCCAGAGCAAGAATCCCCCAATTTCACGTCCAATCTTTTTTTTTTTTTTGTACCTAAATGTGTTGCCCACTGCTGGTTCCCTCCCCAGATTGCAGGCCCCATTTCTCTCACTTGCCTGTGTGCCCTGAGCCAGATGTAGCCCTATTGGAGGGAACGGTGGGTGAGGACAGATTTCTTGACAAAGCACACTAGCCACCTTCTACACACCGATGGGGTGTATTTAATTTAGTGCTTCTGACCTTCCCAACAGCTCAACGACTGAAGTGACACTCTCGGGGTCTCATGTGCAGAGATGTGTGGAGCCAGGCCAAGAGCTGCAGAGCCGAGGTGGCTCTGTCTGCTCTCTCGGCCCCTGGAATCCTGCGGGTCCCTCTGGCCAGCCTTGAGGCGGGAGCTTCCTGGCCAGGTGTTATCTCTGCAGGTGACTAAGCAGCTCACCCTTTGAGCTTGCAGACTTGCCTTGCAGATGGAAGAGCCAGTCTGGTGGGGCTGCTACCAACTTCCTTTCCAGACTCAGAAAGGGAGATGGATGCTCAGATGAACCAAATTCTGCCGTGGGTCAAACCCCCAGAATGAGAGCAGGAAGACCAGAGGAGCAGGAAGACCCAGGGGTGAAAGGGAACGGGACCGTGTACAAGAGGGCTCCTGTATCTCCCACTGGGAAAGGGAGATGAAGGAAGGCAGACAGGAGCTGCAGCCTAGACAGCCCACGCCCCAGGGGCAGAGGGCCAGTGTGGCCACTGGATGAACCAGGGAAGGCTCCAGGAGGAAAGCGCTGTGCACAACCACACCAAGAACGCACTCCCTCCCTCCCTCCTTCCCTCCCGCGGGGGGCCATGCTAGCAGGTGCAATGGGCACTCCAGACTGAAGGCAGGGATGCGGGTAAGGGGTGTCGGCCGTGTTATCTCCAGCCCTGGCGCCAAGAGGGAGTCTGGGTGAGGAGGACAGTCTGTCTTTTCTCCGGAGGAAGATCTTATCTGAACGGAGCCAAATCCAAAAGATCTGCCCCAAGTTTGCCAGTTCCCTACGTGTCGTGTTCGTGCTCACGCTGTCTACGACCCTATCTCTTTCGCACGGCCTCCCCGCCGTGCGTGGGTGGCATACTCGAGTGGGTCTTGCGGTCACTGTGGCGGGGCCCTATGCCTGCTGACTTGGGTGCCTTGCACGTGGTTCCGCGGGACCCTACGCTGAGGGCGCGGTGTCATTCGGGGCGTTGGAACTTGTTCACGTGTCCTGTCTCTGGTTTTCTTCGGCTTGCCCCGGTCTCCGGGGGTGGTGGTGGGGGGTGATGTAAAATCAAGGTGCTGGGCGACCTACCGGGGTGGCCCAGAGTCTGGGTGCAGCTGCGTGCGCACGCCTGCCCAGCCGTGGGCGTGTGCGGCCGCGTTTCCGCGTGTGCCCGCTCGGCTCGCTGCGCGGGGGCGGCCCCGGGAGGCGCTGCGGGGCCCCGCCGGCCGCGGGCTCCAATGGCGAAGCCGGTGCGGCCCCTGCTAATTACATAAGCGGGGACGTCAATAATTCGCGGGAAAACGCGAAAAAGATGGCGCCCCGCGCCCGGGGGGCCCCTTCCTGAGCTCAGCGGCCCCTCCCTCTCCGCGTCCCCTCCTCCCCGCGGCGCCCCCGCCCCGCTCCGCCCCCGCCGAGACCCCTACCCCGGCCCCACGGGCGGACACTCGGCCGGGCAGCCGCGGGCCGAGCGCACCGCCGCCGCCGCCGCCGCCGATGTGCTTGGTGGTCAGACTCCAAGCGGGACCGGCAGACGCGCTGCCTCGCGGTAAGTCCCGCGCTGCGGGCGCCCCGGGAGACTCCGCGTTTCACGCCTCGATCCCTGCACATGACCCCCTTCCTAGAAGCCCCTCCGCACTGGGTGGAGTCCTACCGTCCCCGGGCCAGGAGTGGGGTGCTGCGGAGCCGCGCACTCCTGGGATGGGGACGGAGGTGGAGCCCGAGCGGTCCCCTCAGGGAAGCGGGAGCCCCAGCCACATCCCCGGCCCCGGGCAGGGTGTGGGTGACTGGTCTCCGTCTGCGGCCGCGCGTCTTCTCTCTCCCGTCCGAGGCAATGGAGGGGAGGGGAGGCAGGGCATTAGGGATTTTGCTCACGTCCAAAGTCAGGCTCACGACTGGCTGCCTGCGAGCGGGGAAAGTTTACAGCCGGAGCAACTGAGGAAAGGGGTACCCGGAGCCGGAGGCGACGCTCCTGCGGGCTGGCCTCCCTCCTGAACACCCTTTTAAAAAGCCAACGGCCGCCCTGGAGAGGCCTCGGCGCATGAATCATCCGCGCTTCCTGCCCCCGCCCGGCCCCGCGCGCCCAGTGCCGCGGATTTGAACTGGACGCGGACGGGAACCCGCAAACAAGCCTTTCTGTGCCGATGGGTTTGAATCAACCAATCACAGCCCGCGGGGGCCCTCTCCAGGAGGATGGAGGCGGGGTGGGGGGGCCGCCACCCGGGGGCCCAGCGCGGCCTCGGGGGCGCAGCGACCCAGTCTGCCCCCAAAAGCCCAGTGGGGGAGGAAATGTCAGTTTGTGAACCTGCCGAGGCCTGAGCATGCTCCGGGCCTGAGCAAGCAGGCAACTCCCAGCTCCCGAAGAGCCGAGTGCCAGGGAAGTGGGCACGAGTTCTGACGGCAGCCCCTACCTGGCGCTTGTGACTCTGTCCCGAAGTAAAAGAGAGGCAGGAGAAGGCAGAAGGAGGTGGCATCCCGCCATCCAGAGAGCCGGAGAGCCGAGACCCTGACCGCCCAGGGCCCCTCGCGTGCCCACGTGTATTTGGTTTCACATACGTACTGGCACACTGCCGCAGACTGTCCCACAGTCTCTGAAGAGGCACCCACATGGAAACACACCCAGAGCTGTCTCCTGTCAGCAGGCCGGGCACCAGGTGCCCAGCACTCAGGCAGAGGGAGGGAAGCTGAGCAGGAGCGCCCCCACCGTCCTCACTCGCTGCAGCATGAGGAAGCTGTTTCTGAGCCTCAGAGGGAGTGTGTGTGGAGGGGTATGGTCCTAGGTGAGCACACAGCAAGGAGAAGGCAGTTGACACTGAACACTGGGAAAGGTCTGGGGAGCCACGATTTGATGGAGAATTAGGGTGAGGGAGGGCGCAGGGAAGCTGAGGGGACCTGGGGGATTCCCCAGTCCTGGTGTCAGGTAGTAGCAAGCAACAGGCTCGGGGAATAGGCATGGAAAAGGTGAATGAATTAATTGATGGGCAAAGAGGAGACAGAACTGAAGCCTAGCACGGTGGGGAATAGGGCAGGATGCTCCAGCCACCATAGGGCAGGGATTCTCAGGCCAAGCCTCTGTGGCGGCTCACCGGCCGGGGAAGTGACGGCCATGGGACACCATCATCAGGAAGAAAGAAGCAAAAGGGGGCACTTGAATGGGCTGGCACGATAATGGCTTAGCTGCTTTGAGCGGATATGCACGTGGAAAAAAACATGGGCGGGTTTAAATGCCCTGAGATCATCAAATAATTGAGAATAGAAAGAAGAGTTCCAGAAGGCACATGGCTATGTCATAGCCGTTCCCAAGAGTTTTCATTGCTCGGTGGGCTTTTCCGGGGGGGAAACATGAAATCTTAAGTACTTGCTTCCCCAGACTTGCACCCACAGAGTGTTTGCATACCGGGCAAAGCCGCAGCCTCCTGGACAGGCAGTGGGCTTCAGATCCATGGGTGGAGCCTTTGCTGCAAGGTTCACTCTCTTAGAAGCAGCACGGTGTAGTATAGAGCCAGCTTGACTCCTTCTGAGCCATGGCTCTGCCTCTGGTCACCGGCCACTTCTTGCGTCTTCTCCGTTTCCCTATCCTTAGAATGGGGTAGGAATGTCTCCCTCCCAGAGTTGTCAAGAGAGGGGTGCAAGAGAAGTCTTGCTTTTTCTCTCCCGGTGTCAGCAGAAGCTGATGGAGACTCAGGCTCTGGAACCGGGGACTCAGGAAGCCTATGGCACCACCACCCCCCTCCCTAACAAGGGGTCCCTGTCTAAGACCAAAAAGTACTTCAAAGACTTGATGTCCAAGCTGACAGAGGGACAGTATGTGCTATGCCGGTGGACAGACGGGCTCCACTACCTCGGCAAGATCAAGAAGGTGAGTCTTCTCTGGTCCTTGGGCCCAGGCTCAGCCTCTTTCTGCTCATCCCTTTTTGTCCCTCATGCCTAGAAGCTGAGAGGGGAAGGGACCAGAGCCTGGCTTTGCAGGCTCCATCCTCAGGGGTGAGTGTGGCCCAGCAGTTCTTCAGAGGACTTAAGCAAGCCCCAGACCGGGCAGGGCATAAATGACTCCGTGGTCTGCATCTCTGCCTTTTAAAACATCCCCGTTAAGTCATCCCCCTGTTCCCGATGGCCGTACTCCATCAGGAGTGTACACCTCCACTTCTGGCCTACCTGTCTTATGAAGCACAAGGCCAGGAGATGGAGGAAGATGGAGGCTCAGCTCCTCCCAGCTGCTCCTCCAGGCTGCTCCTCTCTTTGCCTCAGGTCAGCAGTCCTAAGCAAAGCTGCCTTGTGACGTTTGAAGATAATTCCAAATACTGGGTCCTGTGGAAGGACATACAGCACGGTGAGTGTCAACGTTTCTAGTGTCCCTTCCCCATGTTCGCTCCTGTCTACCTTCCGTTTTGCCTTCTCTGCCACCTTTTTTCCTGCCATCCGCGCTAGTCCGTGCACCCCAGGCCTTGAGAACTCATCTTGGGCCCATCAGAGATGATGATCAGGTTTCTACATGAGAGACATTGATCCCCTTCCTGAATGCTCACTTTCAGTAGGGAGGCAGGGCAGGTGGAAGAGGAACTGGGGCATGTGTTAGCACCAAGGGTGTGCTAGGACTGGGTCTCAGGCCTGCAGTTTGTGTCCTTCCTGAATGTTGTCTGCTACTCTGGGTCTCTTCTGGGCCTAGGGAGGAGGACAGAGGCCAAAGGAGAGGGATTGTCAGCTACTGACATGAACTGTGCTCCCTATCTGCAAGTTAAGAAAATTGGTAGGGAGTCTCTACCCCTGAGGCAAGGAGGTGAGGGTGAGGTGGAGCCAGGAAATCATGAAAATGGCCATGCCAAGATGGAGCTGGGTCAGCTTTCAGGATGGAAGGGGAGCTGGACTGGGTACCATCCCTGCTTTCAGACAGCTGACACTGTGTTACAGATCTAGCTAATCGGGATTGTTGAAGCTACACAGGACAGATTTGGGTAATCACTAGTCACAATATCCACGTGGATATTATGGAACTCCAAACAGCAACTATGACCATTGGCGTGAGGGACAAAACTTATTAAGTATCATTTATCCTTAACAGAACAGATGTGGCCCACTGAGGCAGGTTCCAAGGTCAGACAGGCCCTGGACCATGTTCCAGATCTATCCAGTACTAGCTACACAGCCTTGAGCGGTGATGACACTTTTCTGAGTCCCCATTTCTTCAGCTGAAGGGAAGAGACAGTGGCAGTCCAGGCTCCGCCAGAGCGTTGGAAAGCTCAGATGAGAAGGTGTGCATGGCTTACCCCAGCGCTGCTGCACCACAGGGAGGTGGGTTCTAGGAAGGATGAGTGCAAGAAGCCAGCCAGCCAGGCCACAGGACTAAGGCAGTTTGCAGATCTTTTCCCTCTAGTTCCTTGCACCCTACATCTGTCTTCTACGCCATGTCATATGCCACGGAGGGGGCCCGACGATCCAGGGATGCAGCATTACCATTTCTGCCTCTACAAAACTTTCATCCTAAGGAGAATGCGCCAGGGGGATCACCACCAGTTCAAGGCCAGCCTGAGCCACGTAGCAAGACCTTGACTCAAAGCCAGTAAAAACAAAACAAGAAAAATTCCTTGCAGCCTTCTAGGGGGAGAAAACAGAAGCAGCACATCAAAATGTATGTAAGGGGCTGGAGCGATGGCTTAGCCATTAAGAGCTTGTACTACCCCTGCAGACGACCCAAGTCTGGTTCCCGGCACCCGCATCTGGTGGCTCACAACCACCTGGAACTCCAGCTCAGGGGATATAACAACGGCTCTGACCGTGTATGCCACCCGAACTCAGGCGCACATACCCCCATACATATTCACATAACTAAAAATTAGCTTAAAATCATTTTCAAACATATTTAAAGGGAGTGTGGGAAGGAGGCTCAATCAGTTTTTTTTTTTTTTTAAGTTATCTTGCAAGCACAAGCATCCACATTTGATCCTTGGAACCCACATAAGAAAGTGGGCATGGGGGCTAGAGAGATGGCTCAGAGTTTAAGAGCACTTAAAGCTGCTTAAAGCACTTAAGGCTGCTCTTCCAGGGGACCCAGATCTGATTTCCAGACCCCACATGGCAGCTCACAACCACCTGTAGAAGCAGTTCTGGGTGATCCAACACCCTCTTCTGACCTCTGCAGGCACCAGGCCCGCATGGTGCACATACATTCATGCAGGCAAAACTCATACTCATATACGTGTGTGTGTGTGTGTGTGTGTGTGTGTGTGTGTGTGTGTGTGTGTGTCCTTCAAAGAAAGCTGGCACAATGGCTCACACTTGCAGTCCCAGCTCTGGAGAGGTAAAGACAGGCAGATACCTGATGCTTAGTAGCCAGTCAGGCTAGCCAGTGAATCCTAGATCTCAGTGAGAGACTCCCTCTCAGAGAGAAAGATGGGTGCCCCTGGGCAGTGTGACCTGGACACACGTGCACCTGGACACACCTCAGCCTGCATGCATGTATATACACCGAAAAGTTATATTTGTGGACGGGGAGTGAAAGCAGCTCTGTGGTTTGCCTAGACTGTGCACTTAGGTTTGATGCCTAGCACCGCTCACCCCCAAAAAAGGAAAAATACACTTAACATAGCCACGTGGACACTTCAGATATAAAAATGTATTCAACAGAAGAAGACAAAAAAGAAAAAGAAAAAAAGATTGAGGAGGAACCAGTAAGTGAGAAGCCATTCTATAACTCTATTAGAGGTTGGGGTTTATTTCAGCAGGAGAGAGAATGTACCCACTAAATACAGGCCAGGAGTCTGAGCCCCAGCTCCAAAATAAACTACACAAATTCACTGGTCACTCAATCTGGACTTTGGATCTTGACTCAAAAACACGAGATTGTAGTAACGTTTTAATTTGCCAGACATTCAGAAATGAAAGTAGCTTTCGGTGCCATGACGGCTGTGCAGTGTGCTTTAAGAAAGTTCTGTTCATAAATACAACCGAAGTAGCCATGGAAAGTGAATGAATGGCTGGCTGGCCCTTGAATCGAAACAACAGGCAGAGATGTGGGTGAGAATATCGTTTAAATGGGATTTGCTGTGAGTTCACAATTGATGAGAACAGGGTGTCTCTTTTAAACAGACATTCTTATCATGGAGCGCTTTAAGTGTTTTTAGACATGAAGAGGTTTTAGTAAAACAAGTTGGAATAGGTAAGGGAGGGAACCGGATATGTCAAAAGAGCAAAGACTTAGCTGTGCGGTGGCTGTAGGCTTGAATTCCACTTTCCCACTGACCAGCTAAGCAAGAGCCTTAACTTCTTGAGCCTCAGTTTCCTCATCTTTTGGAGCAGGTGTTAATACCTCTGAGGGGCTGGAAAGTTTCCATAAGGCAGCTTGTGAAGTGTGGTGCACGGTGGGAGTTCAGTTCCTGCTCCGAGGTTTTAATTGTCATTGCTTTGATAAAGAAAGTCTCTGACAGTTTCGTACATATACAGTATGCATTCTGGTTACACTCTCCTCAACCCTCCCTGACCTCTCTCTCACCCTCATTACCTCTCCCCTCCACTCTACCCGCCCCTTTCCCAGATGCGTCATTTGGGGTCTTGTTGTGTGACCCATTTTGGTGATTAATGGATTGGGCCTCCCCACTGGAGCCCATCAATGGGTACACAACTGAAGGCAATAACTCCCCATCCCCCACAAAATGTATCAGTATAAAATGGTTGGGCAGTGAGGGCTAGGCTCCCTAGCTCCCCTCCCCCACCCATCATCAGTTATCCGGGGTTGTTGGGCACATTCTTGTGCAGACCCAATAGAGTCACCTGCAGTTGTTAAGAGTCTGTGACTGCAGTCGCCCTGCTTCGCTCAAAGAATGGCATTTCACAGCCCTTATTTCTGTCTTCCAGCCCTTACATTCTCTCTGGCCCCTCTTCCACAATGTCCCGTGAGCCTCAGAGGGTGTGGTGTGGATGACTTTTGTAGAGCCAAGCCCTCCACTGTCACTGATTCTCATCATTTTGTACAGCTGTTTCTGCGTTCTCGGCAGCTCACGGGAAACAGATGCGTCTCTGGTTAAGGCTGAGTCGTAACTGTCTATGGGGATAACGTATATTTAGAAGGCAGTTCGACTCTGTCAGTTTAGCTAAACAACAGAATCAAGTTTCCCAGTCTGTGAGCTGCCCACCAGCTCTAAATATGGCTTCCCTCCCAGTCTCTTTCTTGGTGGTGTGAGCTGGACCTGAGTTGAAAGCGCTTCTTTTTCAGCTGGCGTTCCAGGAGAGGAGCCCAAGTGTGACATCTGCCTGGGGAAGACATCAGGGCCCATGAATGAGATTCTCATCTGCGGGAAGTGTGGCCTGGGTGAGTGGGTGAACGCAGCGCAGCTCGAGAAGGCCCTGACCTGGGGCCCCTCCCACGCTGCACTTGCTCAGATTCAGCTAGCCCCATTTATCCTTCTAGCCCTCTCAGTGTCGCCTTGGGGAGAGTTGAGAAAGAGCAATGGGAATGTAAGCCGGGGCTCTCCTAGGCAGAGAGAATGGGGGGAGAGGAGGGGCAGATGCTGAAGCCCGTCCCTGGTGCCTGTTTGTCCCTCACTGGATATCAGCTTGGCTCCTGGGTAGGAACCACCAGCCAGTACCCAAAAGCTGGCAGGCAGAGCTCCCTAGGGCTTGCCGGAGCCCGGCTAGCCTCTCTTGGCCAGCTGGCTTTGGGCCGCTGCCTCCTTTTGAGTAATTCACCATCCCCTCCTGTGCCCTAGGTTACCACCAGCAGTGCCACATTCCCATTGCAGGCAGTGCCAACGGGCCCCTCCTCAGTCCTTGGTTCTGCCGGCGCTGCATCTTCGCACTGGCTGTGAGGGTGAGTCCTCCCCTTTCCCAGCCCCCAGCCCACTATGCTCAGGCCTGAGGCTACATCACTGATCCTGTACTCCAGGCAGGACTCCACTTGGACTTGGAGACACAGGGTGCTCTCTGTCCTAGGCCAGATTTCAGAGCCTCTCTAAACCTCAGTTTCCCCAGCCATAAAGTGCGCACAGTTTTGTGTCCGTGGGAGGCCACCAAAAAAGGGCCACTTGCTATTAAAAGACAACTTGATGGACACGCCCCTTACACCTGTGTTGTGCTTACTACAACTGATGCTATTCATGAATTATCTTTGAGGGAAACGGAGGATGGATTTAGGATTGGTGAGAAAAACTTCCTTATTTTCCTGATGTCTGGGTCTCCCCAAACCCTGGCAGCGTTTCCCCTGAGAGTAGGTGTGGTTGGTGACCTGGGCCCTATCTCTCCCCTAGAAAGGCGGCGCGCTGAAGAAAGGCGCCATCGCCAGGACGTTGCAGGCGGTGAAAATGGTGCTGTCCTACCAGCCAGAGGAGCTCGAGTGGGACTCGCCCCATCGCACCAACCAGCAGCAATGCTACTGCTACTGCGGCGGGCCTGGAGAGTAAGGCCGCAGGGCGGGACACGTGCGGGAGGCCGGGCTGCGGGGTGGGACTGACAGGCGCCGCGAGAGCCCGCCTCAGGGGGCGGGGCCTGAGTGACAGCCCGGAGGGCGGGGCTTGGGTGGCAGGCTCTGGAGGGAGGCGGGACCTGGAGGGGCGCGCTCCGAGTGACAGCTCGAGGGCGGGACCTGAGTGTCAGACTCCAGAGTGACAGCTGGGCTGCGGGCCCGAGCGTCTGGAGGCGGGGCCTGGAAGGGGCGAGCCTGGAGTGACAGCCGCGGGGCGGGGCCTTGGTGGAGGGATGTGACAGCTCGGGGGCGGGGTCTGAGTGTCAGCCTTTGAAGGCGGGATCTAGCGGGGTGGACCCAGAGTGACAGCTGCAGGGCGGGGCCTCAGTGTCAGGCCGTGGAGGCGGGTCTTGGATGGGCAAACCCGGAGTGCCAGCTCGGGGGCCAGGTCTGGGGGAGACCGGCCGGAGTGACAGTCGCGGGGGCGGGGGCGGGGCCTAGGTGTTAGGCCGTGGAGGCGGGATCTGGAGGGGCAGGTCCGCAAAGCCATTTTAAGGAGAGCACATTCTAACGTTGGGGCTGTTTCACTTTGCAGGAGGGTAGGGCTTCAGGAGGGTGACTCAGAGAGGTCGGTGGGGGCCCGGCTTCCAGAAGCGGGCCCAGCGAGTCCGATAGCAGCCGTAAGGCATGTCCAGACGGAGGGGACCCAGGAAAGTCGCCTAGGGGCGTTAAGGGACAGGTCCTGAAAGTAAGCTCAGAGTGAGAATCTGTGCAGACGGCAGTGGAGAGGAGAAGGCAGAGCCACCTGAGAAAGAAGCACTACTGAAGTAGCTAAGAGCCTAGGCCTGACTGAGATGTCCTTTGCCTACAGAGCACCTTGCCGGCTGTGTCTTCCCTGATTCTTGGTTCACTTGCTGGTTTTTCCTTGTGTGGTTGTGAGCATTGGTAACTAGATAAAGGCTCGCACAGGCTGAGAATCAGTCATCTGCTGCTGGCGGTGATAGGGTTTTGCAGAAAATTCTTGGCCCGCTGTGGGGGCCAGAATCTGGTGACTTGCCCACCCGGGGCCTCCAAGGACAATTGAACCTGCTCCTGTGGGCTGTCTGCACAGAGGCAGGGTCTCCACCCTCAGCAGATGGCAGACTACTCCTTCCCCTGCCCTGAGTCTTAGAGCCAGCTCTGACTGGAGGTTATGCTTAGGGCCGAGGTGCGTTCTAACTATGCCATTTGAGCGACTTCATCTCTCAAGTGGGCGCTGTTATCTTAATTACCCGAGAGGATCCCAGCGTGCTGGGAGGCCTCATGAGTGACAGATGGAGAACAGTGTACAGAAACCTATATGGCATTAGTAAGTGGCTGCTTCTCGATGTTTAATGCACAGTTGTTCACACACACACACACACAGGCACACAGCTCCTCTGAAAACCAGGTCTGAAGCCAAACAGAAAAACTGCATATTAAACTTGCACTTTAGGGCCGGGGCCAACGGTACACTTTTCTTTTACTGGGTGCAAGACCAATGAGGTCTGGCTCCAGGTGTTTGGTAAGTGTGGCCCACAGTCCTCTTCCCCTTCCTGCAGTGGCAGCTGGGTAAGTTGCTGCGCCTGCCTGTGACACGGCTGCCCTGGCTCTTCTGTGTCTCCAGGTGGTACCTGCGGATGCTGCAGTGCTGCCAGTGTAGACAGTGGTTCCACGAAGCCTGCACACAGTGCCTCAATGAGCCTATGGTGTTTGGAGACCGGTAGGTGCTGACTAGGCATAGGGGACAGGGAGTGACAGCAGTAACCTTCTCGGGTTATCTGCCTGATGTCACACTGAGGCGGTCTGTGGTAGCCTATACTTGTCTGCTGGAGGTAGCTCAAGACAGAGGACCCCGGCTCTGCTGAGCCAGGAGACAATAAAGGACCATGCTGGCTATGCGCCTAGTTGCTGCAGATCTGTGGGGAGCCTTAGACAAATGCCCGCCTTCACCAAGTTCCTGTCTCTACAAGTGTCTCGGGAAGGAGAGACAATAGTCAATGCCTTTGCCTTACCAGGAGTTACTGTAGACGCCGCTGCTAGGGAAATGCACGGCTAATGGGAGGTATTATATCTGCCAAGTCAAATATTATGCTTATTTAAACCTTGGTTGATGGCTGGCAAGTGAGCACACGTATGTGTGTGCGTGCATGCACGTGTGTGATTTCAGAAGGCACAGTGGTGACCGCTACAGCCCAACCTCTGTATGAACTGAGCTGAACTCTGGGGCAGTGATCTTTGGAGAGGGGTCAGGGAGAGAGGCATTCTTTAGTCCCTGTCCCCTCCACTGCTCAGACGCTGACAGCTCAGGAGGGGATGAGATGGCTGAGGGTCAGACACCCTCCCATCACAGCCTCTCACCTCTCACCTACCCACAGGTTCTACCTGTTCTTCTGCTCCGTGTGTAACCAAGGCCCAGAGTATATCGAGAGGCTGCCCCTGCGATGGTGAGAGGATGGGGCCTGTCCTGACCAGCTCCTCCTTTCCCCTCTGCCCTCTGCCCTGCCCCTGACCCTCACCTGGCCCTTGCTTTCTTGCCCAGGGTGGACATAGTTCACCTGGCCCTCTATAACCTGGGAGTACAGAGCAAGAAGAAGTACTTTGACTTTGAGGAGATTCTGGCCTTTGTCAACCACCACTGGGAGCTCCTGCAGCTTGGCAAGGTATGTAAGGTCCCAGGAGCCGGAGGTCCCAGGAGCTGGAGGTCCCGGGAGCGTTCAGTGCAGGGCTTGGGCGTGGGTATAGACAGGTGAGCTCTCGCCCTTGAGCGGCAGCTCCTTCAGTCAAAGCCTCTGAGCCTGTGCCAGGGAGGGGCTTTCTGGCCTCCAGTTCAGGCAGTGGTCAGTTGGGACCTCACTAACACAGCCGCAGGGCACTGAGGCATTGCACCGAGGGTGGCTGGAGGGGGGGGACTCTCTGCTAAGGTGTCTGACTCACAGCAGCTTTCCTGGCTAGCTTAGAAATTACAGTGGGTTTGTCTTCTGCTGACCTTGTTCTGCATTGAGGTTCCAGGGGCTTCAGTGCCCTGTAACTAAGACTTCAAAGTTGTCAGAGCTGGAGAATGACCTAGCCACTCCCACGGGGCTACAGGGCCTGCTGCCCTAACGACACTGTTGGAGTCTTCTTGGCTACTGCAGAGTCAGTGTCTTCCACTGACTAGGTTGTAGATGATGAGACAAGGTCATAAAAAAACGAACAAGGGCTGTTGGCATGGCTCAGGAGATGAGGGTGCCCTAGCCAAGCCTAAGGACCTGAGCTCAATCTCCAGCACCCGCAGAGTGGAAGGAGAGAACTGACCCATGCCCTGAGTTGTTCTCCTACCTCCATACATGTGCTGTGGCAGGCACATGCTACACACGCGCGCGCGCGCACACACACACGCACGCACACACACACACACACACACACGTATAATGAAAAAGAAACCAAATAGGAAAATCTTATCTTTGCAAGCAGTTGTATATGATGTCTCCATGCACAGTGTGTGGTCAGTTATAAGGTGCGCAGAAAGCCTTGAAGGATAGAGTCCGTATTATTTTCAAGATTTATTTAATGTATATGAGTGTTTCGCTCATGTGCATGTCTGCATACCACGTGTGTGCTTGGTGACCACAGATGCCGTAAGATGTTCAGGTGGTTGGAATTATGGATGGTTGTTAGCTACTGTGTGGGTGCTGGAATCCAAACCCAGGTCCTCTGCAGCAACAACTGATCTTAGCCACTGACTGAACTACCCCTCCAGCCCCTGGAGTTGGAATTTTTTTAAATAACTTTTTCTGCCATATTAAAAAAAAAAATCATGCATAAGGGCTAGAGAGGTGTCTTAGCAGTTAAGAGCACTTGCACTGGGTCCTCGCAAGGACCCGGCTTCCATTCCCACCACACACATAGCAGTTTACCACTACTGTCTGTAACTCCAGTTCCAAGGACTAGAGCCCTCTTCCGACCTCCCAGGGTGCTGCACACACATGGTACACATAGACAGGCTAGTAAACACTCATCAGCTAAGTATTTTAAAAATTCATGTTTCCAACAGAAAATTTTAAGTTATCAAAACAGAAGTATGCCTTTAAAGGACCGGTATTTTCACTACTCAGAAATAACTAGAAATAAAGCTTGAATATATCCTGCTCCTCCCCTCCTACACGGTTTACATGAAACAGTATATGCTATTTTAGATGACCCCTTTTCGGTTAGTGTCACCCTGTTCCGGGCTGCTGGTGTTCTCATTACCTTTTAAATGGCTGAACTGATGTCCTCCCTAGTTTGCTAGCTGGGCACGTAGTTTATTTTCTTTTTGTCCACTATCAGAAACAATGCCACTGGCTACATTTTTGTATGCGAAATTTTGTCCATAATCCGTGCTTCCTCTGTAATATAGCTCTCATAGGGCGGCATTACTGGACAAGAGTGGGGATGTTTTTAAAGCAGCACTGAGGAACGAACCCAGGGCCTTGTTCATGTTAGGCAAGCAGTCTCCCTCTAGGCTACAGTCACAGCCCCATAAAGCTCCTAAAGTGTTGAGGCCAGGAGTCTGCCTCTGTCTTACAGATGGGGAAACAAGCTCAGGGAGGTAAAAAGAGGATAAGTCAGTGGTTCTGTCCTGGGAGACACTGGAACTTGAGATGGCGGGGGCAGGCTGGTGTCTTCTCAGATGCTTGTGTAGGTCTGACTGGCCTGCTGGCTCTGCTTCTCCTAGCTCACCAGCACCCCTGTGTCAGATCGCGGACCACACCTCCTCAATGCTCTCAACAGTTACAAAAGCCGGTGAGTGCAAGGGGGCGGAGCTGCAGGCCCTGGCAGGGGATTCAGTCTAAAGGCTTCTCCTAGTATATATTCTTTGCTGGAGTCGGACTCCCGACCTGGCTCTTTCCTCCTTCTCCAGCATCCAGGGAATAAAGACATCCACAGGCCTTCCTTTACAAAGCCTTCCCAAGCGCCCAGGAACCCTGCCTCAGTTGTCTGCGAGGCTCCGTTCTGTGCTGCAGCCAGCTAGAGAGCTCCTGGCTACTTCCCTAGTCTGTGCCTTCCCATCCTAGGTGCTTAGCACACACCTGTCCCTCAGCCATGTCCAAGGCCTTTTATGACACGACCCTCCCCATCGGCATCTTACACTCTTGTCCTTTCGTTTTATGGACTCTGGGTGTCAGCCAGCCCTGCTCAGCCCTTGGGTTCCTACCCATTTGTTGGCTGGTTGGTTGGTTGGTTGGTTGGTTGGTTGGTTGGTTGGTTTTTGAGATAGGATCTCACTCTGGCCCAGGCTCCAACTTTTGATTCCCCTGCCCCAGCCCCCTCAGTGTTGAGTTTACAAGTGTGTAGCACCATATCCCAGATAGCCAGCACTTTGTTCCTGTCCATCCCTCTGCCTCTTGTTGCCCAACTTTATTCACTTTTTCATCAGCAAGTATTTTCAACAGAACTGCACTGTAACAGACCTCTCTAGGTAGGTTCTGAGCTATGGAAGAACAAGGCACTGACTCTGTTTCTGTGAAAGCTTGCCCGGCACCTCTTACAGGGCAACCTGCTCTGGCCTTCCTGTGGTTTGAGGTACAGCAAGACATCCTCTTGAGGATGAGGCCTCTTGGCCACTCAGTGTTCAGCTTTCCTGAGAACAGGCCTGGGTTTGAACCTCCTCCATAGCATCAGGGCCTCACTCAGCCAGTGTTGAAAAGAGAGATATGCTTAGAGATGCTTCCTGGCCAGAGAATGTTAAAAACTGGCACCAACCAGTTCCTGGGTCCTGAGACTTCTGCTGTGTGCTGCGCCTGGTGGCTTTGCAGCTAGCCCATGCCAAGAAGCCTCAAGGAAGAGCAAGAATCAAATACGCAGGAGGCAGAACAGGGAGGAGCTTAGCCACGTTCTCTGCTGGGGACTGTGGATTCAGTTGGAAGGGCGGAGGGGCAGGAAGGCTGATGGCCCTGGTGGTAACTAGGAAGATCAGCTTGACAGCGCCAGCCTCTCTACTGTCCACCCCAGGTTCCTGTGTGGCAAGGAGGTGAAGAAGAAGAAATGCATCTTCCGCCTGCGCATCCGTGTCCCGCCTGCCCCTCCAGGAAAGCTGCTTCCCGACAAGGGGCTGATGCCAAACGAGAGAGGGATCTCTGGGCTGCTTCGTAAGAGAGGAAAGAGCAAGCCTGGGTCAGTGCTGCTGCTGGGCTGCAGCTGCAGCCAGCTCGGGTTCTCCACCTGCGCTCCCAGCCTCTGCAGGTGGCAGAAGGCTCCACAATGGCCCAGGCAGTGTGATGGCATCGCTGCAAACCTGGAGTCCTAGACCCAGCAGGGGCAAGCTCTAGGCACTGCAGGAGAGCTAGTGTGAAGCTCCTAGGTCCCAATCACCACAGGCCCCTCGCTTCCTAGCTCCAGGGAAGCCTGCTCCTGGGACCCAGCTCTGCTGCGTTAGGACCGGGCAGAGAGGGGACACTGAGTGTGCAATATGCCCTCATTCTCCTGGCTGGGCAGAGCCTCCTCTCCAGGGGCACTGGGGCAAGGAGCCACCTTTCCTTCTTCCACTCTCTAAAGCCCCTCCACATTCACTGCCCCAGAGGACGCCCTCCTTCCAGGAGGCCCTCTGCCCTGCCCAAACCCTTCTGACCCCATCCTGGCCACTGCCCCCGGCACTCCTAAGGCCTCTCCCAGGGGGCTTCTGCCTGGCCCTCCGCCTCTGACTGGGCCACCCTCTCCCTTTTCTGTCTCCACAGTTTGTTGCCTAAGGAATCCCAGCAGCAGAAAAGGCGAGTTTATAGAAGAAAAAGATCAAAGTTTTTGCTGGAAGATGCTATTCCCAGTGTTAGTGCCTGGTTTTCTGGTTTTCTTATTCTCCAGTCCCACGCACAGGGACAGCATTACATTAGGGGGTCCTGTACCGACAGCAACGTACTGTCCTGACCCAAAGGGATGCCCTGCTGTCGTACTTCCAATCACAGAGAGACAAGGAAGTGCCAGGCCCCCTAAGACCGCTATTTCCGAATCTCCCTGAGGTTCTTCTGAGGACACAGGGGTTAGGGCAGGGGTAGATAATATCCTAGTCCCGGGGTCGGGCAAAACAGGGCTGTGTGGGGGAAGCAGCTTTCATGATGCCACACTTCAAGTGGCTGAGCCCGGCTTCGAACCAGATCTCAGAGCACATTTTCGCCCTCTGATCATCCTTACTGAAACTCTCCCCGTGGGTGACAGTGTTAACGATGCCTCAGCACTCCAGCACTTTATAGTTCGCAATACCCTCTCACAACCTCGACTGAGTCCTAACTGCTTCCTGTGACACCCCCACCCCACCCCCACCCCAGTAAAGCAGGCTCTGAGTTATTCCCATTTTGCAGTGGAGGCAACTGAGACCCAGAGAAACGAATGTAAGTCATCCAGGTGGCTGGAGAAGTCAGGACTTACTTGACACACCAGGGTGGCTTGGCTCTGGCTCACAGTTTAGGTTTTACCCGAGGAGCCCTTGAAGCCCTGGCTGAGCAGCAGGTGTCCCATACAGTCTGGGGAAATGGCTGCTTGGGGAGAGGCGGGTCTGTTGCTCCCTGACTGGCCCTGTCTTCCTTGTGTCTACAGAGCGACTTCACCTCAGCCTGGAGCACGGACCACCACCTGGCCAGTATATTCGACTTCACACTGGATGAGATTCAGAGTTTAAAAAGGTACCTGCTACTTTAGAGCTGACGGCGGTAAAGGGTAGGGGGGCTCCACCCTCCCCCCAGCATGAAGGAGGCACACGTCCTGGGGTGTGGACATGCCCCTCATGGGCCTTCTGAAACTTCAGTTAAAAGGTCCAATACGCACTGGGCCGCCTGAGAATTTTGTATGCTACAGCTTTCAGCATAGCGCCCTCTGCCCTCCAAAGCAGAGGTCCAGGCTGCCTTGCCTGCAGTCCCTCCTCCTCAGCCCCTTCTCCTGCCTCACGTCTTGGACTGGAAGGGCTATGGCTACTCTCACCGTTCCACCTGTGCTTATGCTGAGTCCTTGGCCTGGAACGCACTGTGCCCTGCTCCCCCATCCAAAACTCAGGGCGTCGCTTCCTCCAGGAAGCCCTCACTGACCCTCCCAGGCTGTGTTGGAAGCCTGCTTATACCTGCTCATAGCACACTTATTTGGGTAAATTCAAAGGCAAGAATTTCATCTTTTACCACTTAACCCCCCCCCCAAAATCACTCAAGACCACATGGAGCAGGAAAGGAAGGATTTAGAGTCAGATGGGAACTCCAAACCAGGCCTACCAGTTCTAACTGTACAGCATTCGCTGAATTCCTTAATCGCCCAGCCTCCTCATTTTCCCCACTTTGCAGCTGTAAAATTTTGTACAAGTGCCCAAAGACACATGGACTATGTCACCGCCAGGGGAGATTGGTCAGGGAAAGTTTTCTTGACTCCCAACTTTGAAAACCAAATGGGTAGAAAATAAGACAGGCAGATGTGGGGTGAGAATCTTAGCAGTGAGAAGAAGATGGACCTCAGCTGGGATGGAGGACACCTGTCAGAGACACAGAAGGTGGAGAGGCTCCAAGGGACCCCAAGGGCCAGATTGGTGGGCCTTGCTGGGCTGGGCCAGTAGCAGACTCGTCTTCTCTCCCTCCCAGTGGCAGCTCAGGCCAGACCTTCTTCTCAGACGTGGATTCCACCGATGCCGCCAGCACGTCCGGCTCTGCCTCCACCAGCCTGTCCTATGACTCCAGGTGAGCTTCTCGTGGGGGGGGGAGGGGCTGCCTTTGAGTCTGCAAGGGACAGCGGTCCCCATCCCATCTGCTTCCCACCGCTGAGTGCAGACTCCTTCTGTACTTCCAGGTCTCAAGACAGGGAGACGTGGGGATGGGGTGCTGGTCTTCCCTGACCTTCTTTCCCAAGTCACCTGATCCCTTCCATTGGGGACATTCTTTGCCTGCAGTGGTTGTGTGATCCCTCTAGTCACGTGATCCAATTCTGAGGCTCTTCTATCTGAGAGGCCTGTTCACTCTAGGCTTCTCGGCATCTGCGTGTCATGATTGTGTATCTGTACCTCAGACTGCAGGGCTCCTGTTCTCAGTTCCTGGCTGTGTGATTTGTATCGTAGGGCCTCTAAGAGGAAAATGCATTTACTTTAAGCACAGTAGAAGAGCAGACGGTGGGGTCTGGCTGAGGGAAGAGCCTAATTTCCTGCTGGGCACAGGCCCCTCTGCCCTCAGGCTCCTTTATTCTCCAGAATGTGTGCAGGCTTTGTGGAAGTAGACTGCAGCGTCTATAAAGATTGGAATCCTCTGCTTTCACACATCTATAAGTGGGGTGGGGAGGGTCCTTGTTTCTCTGCTGTTGCCTCTGTAGCTTTAATTTTTGTCCTAGGGATTAAACCCAGGGCTTCGTGCATACTAGAGAAGTGCTCTACCACTGAGCAGAACTTCCCTGGTCCCCCTCTTTCTTTGGTTTCTCACTAGTGCCTCAGGTCCTGGCCTCCACGTCTCGGCATCTGTTAATGGGCAGCTTGTCCAGTGTGTCTGTTTTGCGAACACTTCTGCCTGTGTGGTACAGGGTCCTTCAGGGCCTGTCCCTGTGTAGCTAGCTCATCCAGTCCACACAGAGGACTTTACACCCTAAGCAAGGCCTCTGCACTGTGGGACCCCAGAAGCACCCACAGAAGGGTGAACCACTCTTCCAGATACAAACAGCAGATGCTGCAAAGTTGAACACAGCCGGGCTGGAGTCCCCGCCTCTGTACACTCTCCAGCCCATTTCTCCCATGGAACCTCAGTTTCCCTATGACAGGACTACTCTGAAGTTCCAGCATGCCCAGGTCTGGCCTAGCGCCTGGTACCTAAGAGACGCTGAGGGTAAGGAAGCTTTTGATCGTTCCAGCTCACTCCCATCATTTCCCTCTTCCCCTCCTGACACAGATGGACGGTGGGCAGCCGCAAGAGAAAGCTAGCAGCCAAAGCGTACATGCCCCTGCGGGCAAAGCGTCGGGCAGCTGAGCCGGATGGGCGCTGCCCCTCAGACAGCAGTGCAGAGGGAGCTCTGGGCCCCGAGCAGCCGGATGAGGGCATCGACAGCCACACGTTCGAAAGCATCAGTGAGGATGACTCCTCCCTGTCCCACCTCAAGTCATCTATCACCAACTACTTTGGTGCGGCCGGACGGTTGGCCTGCGGGGAGAAGTACCGAGTGTTGGCTCGGAGGGTCACCCCAGAGGGCAAGGTTCAGTACCTGTTGGAATGGGAAGGCACTACCCCTTACTGATTACCCCTCAGAGGCTGCCTGGATCCCTGGAAACCAAAGGAGGGCCAGAAGAAGCCATTGGCTCCCTGTTTTCTCCAGGCTGGGGTGGTGGAGGGAAGCAGGACAGGGCCTGGCTGCGGCCCCTGCCTGCTGCCTGCCAGGCCAAGGCCTGTGTGCTGCTGTACCAAGTGCCTGTGTCTCTGAGACCCCGCTGGCTCTTTCTCATTGCCTATACACTCCATACCCCTCAAACTTTTTACTGGTTCCTCTGAAGGTATCCTGGCTACGACCCCTGATCCTGAGGCCTGAATCCATTTTTCATTGTCCCCAGTTGTCCATCTTTTTACCTCTCACCCGTTTGGGGTGTTTTGTGTAGTCGCACATCTTCCATGTGCGAATGAACATCTATGGGACCACAGTGAGAGAAGGGAACGCTGAAGGTCTTTCACCTTCTCACTAAAAACCCTCACCCCAGGAGGAGAGGGATGCCCGAAAAAAAGTTTAGGGTACCTGGGACCCCAGAGCCTGGGGAGTGATGAGCTGGGCCTCTTCTGAAGGAACAGCCACAGGGTCCTTTACTGAGGCTAACTGCAGTAGTCAGGGTTGAGGGGCCCAGAAGTTTGCCTGTCCCCACAACAACCCTCCACTGTTGTCATGGCCTGGAGGCTGCCTCACTGCACAGAAGGATTCTTGAACCCTTGATCTGGGAGGAACGCCTGACTAAATCCCAGACCCATTACAAAGTGAAACACCACAGGACTGTGTACATAGACAAACACAGTCACGTGTCCCCTCCAGGGTACCCTGGACCCTGTCCTTGACCTCTTCCAGGGATACATGCTGCAGTTAAATGTGAAAACCAAACTCCTGCTCCCCCTGGCCAGGGAACCAGCCCCAGCCCCACAGAAAAGCACAAAAGACACCCCCCCCCTTCCTGCATAGTTCCTGCCTTGCCCAGGAGCTGACAATCACTTTTGGGACAGGCTAGGGTTTTTCAAGGGCCTGAATCATGCATTCCCTTCGGAAAGGAAAGGAAAGCCTTTGTCATTGATGGTATAAATAGAATTCTTAGAATGGACAAACCTGGCCCATCTGGAGGGAAAACCAAAATTCAGGGGTGGGCAAGGAGCCCTTGTTTTGCCTGCAACTGACTCACTGAGTTGGAAAATGGAAAGAAGTGCCTTTGGGATGGGAGGCAGGAGCACCAGATTGGAACCAGCCTCACTGACTGCTGCTGTGGCGTCCAGATGTCCAGGGTCTTGAAAACTGCCAGCTAGTCGGAGATAACAGAGCTCTATCAGAGGGGCTGACTTTTCCATAACTGGGTCCGACCCCTCCACACGTACCATGAGCATTCAGGGGGTCTCTCTCTGAAGTAGGTTAGATGACCCCCGCCTTAAACCTCAGCAACCATAGTGCCTTGCAAAGGAACCTCACCCCTCACTTGGCACAGCCACCCTGTTCCCTCTGCTTCCCTGTCTTGGCTGAGGCAGGGATGAGCAGATGGACACTGGACCCAGTTCTTGGTCCCACAGCTGCTGCCACTGAGGTCCCCAAAGGGGGGCAGGTGGGAGGAGAGTTATAAAGCCAACTCCCAGGACAGCAGGAGTGTGGGAACTGGGGTCAAATTTGTAGCTTCCTGTTGGCTTTAGTGAACATGGCAACCTCAAACATCTGTTTTCCAGGCCACTAGGAAAGCCAGAGAGCAAGGCTGTTGGACATCTGCCCCTTCCCTGCTGGGCCCCAGAAGCTCTGGGCCTGAGGGGCAGGAGGGTAGGCAGTGCTTGTCCCACTGGGAAAGCTAGCACAAGAACTGACCAAGTCACCTGACTCCCCTCACCAGCATGGCACTCTTATAAGACAATAGCTGCATTACTGCCAACTGACAGTATAACCCTGTGCACCTTTGAAAAGATCTGGGTTTTGAATTGCTGCTTTTAATAATATTTGTTATATTAAAGTTATAATTGATGTGTCTGGTTTACGGTGAAAGCGTGTCCTTGGAAACGTTTCTGCGTTCTGCTCTTGGCCTCCTGGAGGTGAGGCCAAGGACGGTGAGGCCAGCCCTGTGACCACCCAGCCACCCCTGCATTCTCTATACCCGTGTTGTCTCAGCGGTGTTCCCGCCCTGAAGCCCCTGGAGAATGTGGAACTGTTTTCTCTATTGGGTAAATTTATTCTTAGGATTTAGAAATAAATTAGAACTCTCAGAAATTCCCCAAATCACATTATCTTAAAATAATTTGTTCTTCATATTCCTTTCCTCACTATTACATTTACCTGAAAATTGTTGACTAGGGGGTGGGGAGATGACTCAGTGGTTAAGAGCACTGTCTGCTTTTCCAGAGGTTCTGAGTTCAATTCCCAGCAACCACATGGTGACTCACAACCATCTATACTGGGATCTGATGCCCTCTTCTGGCGTGCAGGTGTACCTGCAGATAGAGCACTCATCTACATTAAATAAATAAATCTTTTTTTGAAAAAGGAAAATTGTTGAAAAAAAGAGGCATATATATTAAGCCCAAAATAACTATTAACTAAGGGCTATAGCGTGGGGGTCAGCTTTAAAGACTGGTGAGGACCAGGGAACATCATTTGGATAGCATTCTATACCACAGTGTTTGGACTTATTGGCTGAACAACGAGAAAGGATCAACCATGCATCTGAATTACTGATTTAAGTGTTCCCCTTCTTTCCAATATTCATTTCTTGGAACACCACGCTCAGCATTTTTATAAAGCACACGCTGTATATATAAAATTATTTTCAAGACAAACAGGTTGCAGCAGAGTAGTTGCCGTGGCAACAACCTAAAGCAAGGCTCACAGACTCAATGTTGGTGTCTTCCCCCTTACATGTGCCTGGCTAGGCTCGCTCTCCAGTCCAGCGCTTTGATGTTACCGCTTTCGCTCTTTACTTGGTGAAGGCAATTTGTTTTTGTTTTCTCCTTTTGAGATAGGATCTCCCTATGTAGACTAGGCTGGCTTTGAACTTGAGGTTTCTCTGCCTTAGCCTTACAAGGGCTTGGATGACTGGGTCCACCATCACATCCAGACAAAGGGATTCTTTTAATGCAGTGGTGCTTGTGTCTTAGTAACAGTTAGCGCTTATAAGAAAGCTTCATTTTCACTCATTTCCACAATTGCCTATTTTAGAGATTTTGGAAATCCTACGAAATGTGGGAAAGGAAATGCAACATTGAAAGGAAACAGGCTGGAACCCAGCCGTGTCTCCAACAGCCGTGTTCTGGGATGTAGGATCATGGCAGATCACTAAACTCCATTCTCCCTTCATGTGTGAGTCATACAACACAGTGGATGGACAAGTGTCAGGCTGACTGAGGATGTTTCAAAGGCTAGGAACCTCTTTGCTGGTGGCTACGGTAGATTCTCTGGGTCTGTACCTTCCTGAGAGCTGACTAGCCTCTTTGACTGAAAAACAGGGGAGTACTGGGTTTAGAATCGGACCCTGGGTCACATCCTCACTTTCCTCTGCCCCACTGTTAAAGGTTGCAACAGTGGAAACCCCACTGTTAAAGGTTGCAATCCACCATGACCAGAAAGTCCTGAGCTCGGAATAAAGCGGAGGGCTCTCTTTTTCAGAGAGGCTTCCTCCTCTCTCCCTGGGATCCAGACCCCCACAGCCTCTGCCTGAAGAATGTCATGTTTTTCCTTAGGGAAATTACAGGTCCAACTCCCTTTCTCCCCGTAAGAACTCATTCAGCAAGCACCTGGGATTCCTGGAATGCCTCTCCACATAAATGAGGTATCTCAAGACCTTAGCCCTCCAGCCAACGATCTTTACCTACCCTGGAAATCTCTATCCACTCCCCAAAGTTCCATGCAACCCTCGTTCAGCACAAATAACATTGATCTGCCTCCGCCAAGCTGATCCAGGCGAGTCCTCACTTCCGTACCACTCCTCATCCTTTGCCCTGCTACTTTTGCTCTCGTAGACCAATATTGATCCCTGGGGGCAGGAAAGGTCACATGGCTCATGCCCTCTGACCTCAGATTTCAACAGCAAAATGAGGATAACAAGTAAGTCTAACTTACAAGAATAAGACAGGAAGTTTCCTAAACAGTTCAGCAAGTATTCCTCTCTCTCCAATTTCTGACACTAAGGCAAAGAGAGGTCACCAAGAGAGGTTATTTTGATCACATGTGTAGCACAGAAAATGAATCAATGAAGATCATGGATATTAAAATTTCTTTAAGCTTAAGAAACTTCAAGAAAAAAAATATTTTTGTCTATTTCATAACTTAAGTAAATTCACGTTGTAGAAAAAGCTTTGTTGTTGTTGTTGTTGTTTTAATCCTTGACACTGAAATGTCATCTTGAGAAATAATTCCCAAACCTTGTGCAAGAGATCAGTGAGAATCTGGCCTCCAGCCCAGGAGGGAGGCTTTTCAAAGGAGTAGCACCAGGTAGAGGGGACAACATGAGCACAGGGACAGTGCATGACGGGGTCACCTGTATGCCACAGAGGGGGAGACTTGAATGGGAACGGCAAGGTTCTGAAAGGAAGACGTAGAAAGTGGACTTGCTCCTGAAAGCAACCTGATCCGTCTGGGGTCATTTTAAGTAGGATTTTTCAAGACTGATGTATACCTCAGAAACTGTTATTAATGCCAAGGACATCTTCACTCCCGGCCCTCAAAACCACCAGTAGAATTCTACGTTCCTTTGGAAGGGCCTCGGCATGGAGTCCTGATCAGGTTTTCTATAGGTGGGCCCTTGGAGACCCTACACCATTTGGCATATGGGGGCATCAGATTGGGACCCACATCGCAGCAATCAGACAAGAACATGGTTCTGCCTGGCTTATGTAACACCCTTCACCCCGCCCCGCCCCTGCTGCTACCATAAAAAGAAGAGACCAGGACCCTGTAGCTGCCTGCGTCCCAACTACCTGCAGTTCCTCCCATTGTGTCATGGAAGGGACCTGGTTCAAACCATGGCTAGACTGCATGATTCCATATACCTCCCTGTACGGAATTCCACGAGGTGCAGTTTTCCTTGATAATGCCTAAAACGGGGAAGAATCACAACAAACTTCTGACAGCTTCACTTGGGATGTGGGTGTGGCTGCATTCCTCAAGAAGTCCAGGGGTTCCTCTGTCAGCCCCAGAAGCTTAGGACAGCAAATCTGAAAAATGCAGGCCGGGCAGGTTCCTAGAACCTGTCTCCAGGGTCTTCACATGTGTCATATTAAGTCTAGTAAAAAGTCAAGACTTATTCTCAATGCATGAGGTTGTATTGAAGCCCTAATATTCCCCCTCATCCGCACAGGTCCAAGGAGCCCCTTCCCAGCTTCACCCCTGCAAGATTCAAGAGCCACAAAGGCCTCTTTAACAACGAGAAGCCATTCTGCTGACCCCTGAAGTCCTACCACTAAGATTTGATTCATCATTTTGAATAGAGCACATGTCAGGTTTTTGTTTTTTTGGTCTTTTGGGTTTTTTGTTTTGTTTTGGTTTGGTTTTGTTTTTTGTTTTTTGTTTTTTGTTTTTTTTTCAGAAGAAATTTATCTCACATACATCTAGGTGAGCAAGGTCATCCGCCCCCATGAGAAGCAGAGGCACTTATGGTAGGCCCCGTGCCTGAAGATGACAAACCTCACCCTCAATGCTGCCTCCCTTCAGTCCCTCATCCTCACCCTCACACCCTCTGACCACCTTCAAACACAGCACTTAGCACCATGTTCTTGTTGGTTCTTGCATGCCTGCTCGGCCCTCAGTTCCAGCCTGGAAAGTCTCAGCCCTTCATTCAGCCTGCACAGGTCAGCCGGTGCCTCTGTGCTGTTGGGACCAGTCTACGGGAAGCAGGAGGAGCCCTGCTTTTTCCCAGAGCAGGGTCAAGAAAGGCCAGAGCCAGCCAGCGGCCTGCACGGTAAGTTTCTCTATTTAGTTTTTCTTCATGGCCTTCTCAAGCCACTGTACATAGCGAGCATCAGCCTGGTCCATGGGGACACTGAAGACCTCTGGAATTTCAAAAGGATGAGCCAACCTTTGGAAAGAAAGCAGAGCTCTAGTGAGTGACTATGACAGGATCAACCTATATGATAAAACCAACCCGCAGGCTCTCTGGAGGGCCCCTACAGTCTGCTGCGGCTCACTGCTCATGACCCAGCCTGCCTGAGCCTGTTTCTCAACCAACAGGTGCGGAGTTGGATCAGGTGCTTTTAGAGTCTTAGAGATATGCATTCAAATTCTGTGTCTGCCTGTATTAACTCTGTGTCTACGGACTAGTCAGTTTCTCAGAATGTCTCTACAAAAGGGGATAAAAACATACCTTTCTGACTGGATTGCCAAGGACTAGCTAAAACAGGGTGTCCAAAGCACTCAGCTAGTGGCCAGTATTGCACATACTCATATTCTCTATTCTTCATCACCCTCCAGACACATCGCTGTGTCTTCCTGCCCCTTCTCCAAAGCCTCTATATTCCTTCCTGCCTAGAAAGTCCTCCCTGCCCAGAGTGATCAACAAGATCCCCCCTCAGCCAAACAATCGCTGAGTTTCCCTTGGAGCCCTTACTGACGAGCCTGGCTCAGGCATCTGCCCTCTGTTTCATTCGCCCGGCACTCAGTGCACAATGCCGGTTCTCTTCACATCAGTCTCTCACGTGTCGGATGGGGTAATAAATATTTTCTTATATTCTGATCAACTTAGAGGCACTGGAAAGTTCTCGTGAGATAATACATTTAGCTAATCATAGTATGTATATAAGCACTGTACATTTTCAGCAAGTAGGATTGTTTCATTCAGAACCTGAAGGTTATCAATTTGATGAGCATATTTCATGGACACAAAGGCCATAATCTTTATATATATATAAACAGATATACAGAATTCAAAGAATCTAGCAGTAATATGAACTGTTGAAATACTTCATAGATATAATCATATATTCTAATATGTATAACAATCTGGTAGTTTGATATCCATCTTATAGATAGACAAATGAAGCAAAAAGTATACTAACAGTTTATTAGCACTACGGCACAACTATGGAGTAGGAAGCCATACTTCAACATGAGAAGCAGAACTCTGGAGTTCTCTCCTAACCCGAAGCTGTCTCTCACAGGTTACTGTTTTGGTTCAACCAAGGTGTCTCATTCCCTCACTTCTGCCTAGGTGGTAACAAAAGAGCTTTTCTTCTCTGTAGCTGAGACTCAGCTCCCCACCATATGGCCACAAAATCCTAGTCTCTCTAAGATGTGAAGGCAATGAATTTTATCATTCAGATCATAGGTCTGTAGCCCAGGCTACACATTTCAGTCAACCTGGGGTGCTACTTAAGAGTAATGTACTCTATCCCCACACCAGACAAACCAAGTCAGAATCCATGAGGCAGGGCTTATATTGGACATTTGGAACATGTCTCCAAGTGATTTAACACACAGCTAGCACTGAGGCCACTGGTTATACCCGTGTTCAAGTGTGAACATGGATAGCAATCACTTTGGAGCTTATTAGAATGCAGTTCCATTCAGAAGGTCTGAAATGACATAGATCCCGTCTCCAATACTGGGGATGGAAGGGAACAGCTTTTTTGTTTTCAGTGAGAAAGTCATTTACAAGCAGAATTTCTAAATCCTGAAATCTTAAATTTGTCATTTTAAACTTAAAGCTGTCCCTAGCAGCTATCTCATTAAGCCACAATTTGAAAAAGATAAACAATGCCATTTTCTCATTAATTTCTTGGTTTTAAAAAAATATACTACTCTTCATTAAAAAACACAGTATTTGGGTTATTAATATATAATGGTTTTATTGCTCTTAAGTTAGCTTTAAAAAAACCGTTTTTCAAAATCCTTAGCACTTATGACTGAAAAAGTTAACGTTCATAGACTCCAGCAAAATCTTGGAGACGTCAGAAGTCAAGAGACCCCACTGTGTGAAGCACTCACCTCACACTCACACACTGCCTTACCACAGTCCTAAAAGGGCAAGAAATTACCCCCCTGATGCTTTGGAGAGTCCAGATAATCCTTTTCAAGTATGAAGAGGCCCTGAGACCAGCGTTGTGAAGCCACCAGTGTGAACTATCTCATTCTATTCTCCGCTGCCCAGATGGAAACTGAGACAACGAGAAGGACAAGGAGGCTTCTGGGGGTCAGTGACTGAACCCTAGTCCTCCCACTTCCCAGGTTCCTTCGCTCAGTGCCTAGAACATCCTGGCCTGGGCCTATGGGAACTGAGCCTTACCTCATATAGGTGAACAGCCTGGAGACCATGGAAGTCTTTGTCTTTACTAGCTGTGATGAGAAGAAAATTAAATCAGCAGTTTGGGACTTGAACTATAGCTCTACCCTGCATCCTTTTAGCCACTTAGCAATCCTCCAAGATCACCAGGCTAGGTCACGAGCTTGCTAGTGAGCCTCAGACACCTTAGGTAGGAAAGAACCTCAGTCAGCTGACTGGTGGTAATCTTTTTTCCTCTGTGGGAATGGGACTTAAGGCCTCCTGCCCGTAAGAAGTCATCCATGGGTTATATCCCAAGCCTCGCTGCTAATTTCTAAGGGTCTGAAAAAAGTCCGACATCACTCATTAAAGCCTCCTCTGCCCCATCCTCACTTACCAACAAGATCTCAGTGGCTTCTTCTATTTCTCCCTTCCAAAAGTACCTGAAGAGAACAAAATCAAAGTGTAATGGTCACAAAAGGAACCTATCAAACCCGTTCCAAACTATTGGCCAGGGTCCTTACAGCCTTTCCCAAACCCATTGTGCTGGCTAGTTTATATCAACTTGACACAAGCTAGAGTCATCAGAGAGGCGGAAGCCTCGACTAAACAAAAACGTCTTCATAAGATTGGGCTGTGGGCCAGCCTATAGAGCATTTTCATAATTAGTGATTGATGGGGAGGGCCCGGCCCATTGTGGTGCTGGTGGTGCCAGGCTCCATAAGAAGACAGGCTGAAGTCAAGATGGTGGTGGTACACACCTTTTATCCCAGCACTCAGGAGGCAGACTCAGGCAGATCTCTTGGAGTTTGAGACCAGCCTGGTCTACAGAACAAGTTCCAGGATAGCCAGGGCTACACAGAGAAACCCTGTCTCAAAAGAAAGCAGGCTAAGCAAGTCATGTGAAGCTAGCCAGTAAGCAGCACCCCTCATGGACTCTGCATCGGCTCCTGCCTCCAGGTTCCTGCTCTGTTTGAGTTCCTGTCCTGACTTCCTTGACAATGATCTGGACGTTTAAGCCAAAAAACCCTTTTCTCCCCAACTTGCCTTTTGTGTTTCATCGGAGCAACAGAAACCCTAAGATACCCATACAAATAAGTCTAGAGTTAACAAAGGCCCAACAGGTCAGTTTGTCCACCCATTTTAACAAATGCATTTAGTAGCTGTCAGCACATTCCTGATTGGTTTACCATCTCTTGAAGACAGCTACCTAACTTAAGATTTCACATAAGGTCTCTTAGCTTCCTTCCTTCCTTTTCTTCTTCCCCCCATTTGCCCTTCCCTTCACTCCTTCTCTCCTCTTCCTTTTCTCTGTTTGCTTAGAAAGCAAACCCAAGACCTTGTGCATGTTGGGCAAGCAAGCACTCTACCACTGAGCTGCATAATAAAAGCTTCTTGAGCAGCAGTCCTCAACCTTCCTAATGCTGTGGCCCTTTAATACAGCTCCTCATGTTCCGGTGACTCCCAAACATAAAATCATTCTGTTGCTACTTCATAACTGTAACTTTGCTACTGTTACGAATTGTAAAATAAATATCTGCTTTGCCGCACCCTCAAAGGGGTCAAAGGGTTGAGAAGCCCTGCTCTGGAGACTATTTTAAAGATTCAGAAGCCTGGGCCTCACCCTCAGAAAGACTAATTCAACAGACTAGGCTGAACCTCAGGGGTCAAAATTAAAGCCAAGTTAAGGAGCCATGTTCAAGATGGTGTGAGCAATTGGGCAAATTACATGACTTTTCCCTCCTTTCTCTATATAGCTTTTTTTTTTTTTTTTTTTTGCTTTCCATGGTTGACATACACTGATTAACCCATGACTGCAAGTCAACTGTGAAGTGTTGGTTAAATGCCTTTGAAATACTCTCTGACAGTTCATCATTTGTTCCATGCTCTTTCAATCATCCAGGACCTAACCTTAACAACTCCCCTCCACTGGCCATCGCAAAACTCACAGTAAAGAATTCTTAGGCAAGATGTTCACAGAGGCAGCCATCTTCTTATCCAGGATGGCCCTAGAGCAAAGAGAAGGAGGTGATCACCGGAGCAAGCCCAAAGTCTCCAGAGAAGAGATGGGAATCACCCTAAATATCTGAGTCTACGAGAGCAATCACTTAGGGTGTCCCTCCTCCTCTGTGCTTTAGATATGCACTGAGAAGTATGTTGGAAACTTAATCCTGAAAGTCTTACGTTAATAAAGCTATAGGTGAGGACCTTGGTAAGTCTTGACTTAGGCAATTCTAGGAGTGCCACCGAGACTGAACAGCAGCAGAGCTAACAGCATGCAATATGTACACTATGCTTAAGCTGAGCCCAGCAAAGCCATGGAGCGAGGCTGTGTAAGGCCTGTGGCCTGCCCACTACCCTAGCATAGTCAGGAAGAGGGGCACAGAACCAAGGAATTTACCCTGAGCCCTCAGAATTAAAACGCTGAAGGTGTCAACTTATAGGGTGCCCTGGCTAGCTCTATGCCAATCTGACACAAGCTGTAGTCACCTGAGAGGAAGAACACTCTATTGAGAAATGCCTCCGTAAAATGGGACGTGAGCAAGCCTAGAGAGCATCTTCTTAATTAGTGACTGATGGGGGAGGGCCCAGACCATTGTGGGTGGGGCCAACCCTGGGCTGGTGATCTTGGGTTCTATAAGAAGGCAGGCTGAGCAAGCCATGGGGAGCAAGCCAGTAAGCAGCACCCTTCCATGGCCTCTACATCAGCTCCTGCCTCCAGGTTCCTGCCATGTTTGAGTTCCTGTCCTGACTTCCCTTGATGATAAACAGTGATGTGGAAGTGTAAGCCAAGTAAACCCTTTCCTCCCCAACTTGCTTTTTTGGTCATGGTGTCTCATCACAGCAATAGAAACCCCAAGACACACGGGCTATTCCTTACTTCTTGCTTATTTGTGCCTTTGGAAATAGGAATGTCTGTTCTATGCCTGCCTCACCATTGTACTTTAGAAGCAGTTAACTTGTTTGATTTCACAAGCTAGTGAAGTCAGTTTGGTATCAGGTATGCTTTGAGTCTCACCTAGATCTGATTCAAATGAGAGCCTGGACTTTGGACTTTTTAAGTGGTGTTGTAGCTTGTTAAACTTTAGCCCTGTGGAGACGGAAGAACCATGTTTTACAAGGAAAGTTGTGAATGCTGGTGGCCAACGGCAGAATTCTCTGATTTGAGTGTGCCCCCAGAATTCCTGTGCTGGGAATCTAATTCCATAAATCATGTTAATGAAATTAGAAAGACAGCTTTTACAGGGTGATTAGTGAAGGTATGAGGGTGGGGCCCTCATGATGGAGTTAGTGGCTTCATAAGGAAGAGAGAGGGGAATGAATCTCCATGCTTGCTCTCTACTGCTATGGCTGCCCCAGGCCCTGTTATAATACAGGGAGAAGCTCATGTCAGATACCAAGGAGCATGCTCTTGCACTTCCCAGCTCTACAGCTAGAAGGTGAAATAAATCTTTATTCATAAATCAATGACTTACTCTGGGCCATTTAGTTTCATCAACAGAACAGAAGACACCACCTTATCACATCCACCCTCAAGCCAGCAGATCCTGTGACCACATACAGAGCCTCTGAGGACACAGAGAAGTAGCTGAGAAGAAGTCAGTGGAAGGGTGGGCTCAGTGTGCGGGGTGGGGGGAAGGGCGGGGAGGTTGGGAATGACTGACTGACTGACACTGGGCCTACAGAAGACAGACCTAGGCTCTGCTTGTCTTTCCTGCCTGAAACACTCCTGTTCTCTCCACCTGACTAGATGAAAAACCAGTTTAGTCAGGCGGCTTCTAACCTTCTTCGCTACCAAGAGTTCCTTTCACAATGCTGCACCTAACTCTACACGCACCTGGCTAGCCTGTAGATCTCCGCGTGACCACAAAGAGCACACACCGCTAACTCCAGGCAGACACACACTATCCGGGGGTTGTTTGGCAAGCAGAGAGTCTTTTTCAAGGTGGGGTTTGTTTTTTTTTTTTTTTGCTGTTATGTCTGTTTTAAAGGTTCTCACCACAACCTCAAGTGCTTAGACCCAGGAAAAAAAAACCTTATCTGAGCCCTACTCAGGGGCCCTTCCTTTCCTCCGCTCTTCCAAGGAGAGAGCTGTTCTTCTCTCATTCCTTGAGCCCCGAGCTAAGAGTGTTCTACTTAAAGTTCCATATTAATATCCTTTCATCACCATCTACCATTGTGGTTGCTTTGGAAAATTACGATGTAAGACACATAAAACAGACCTGTTCAAGCAACCTCATCAATTCTTGCCCACTCCAACCACCAACTTTGATTTTTGGTTCCCAGCCATGGCATACAAACAAAAGAAAGAGAGCTACCCATCCACTGTTTGTCCCTCACAGTCTCTTACGAAGGTGAGCTTCCCTGCCAATGATCACGGCGACCTGTACTCGGGCAACAGATCACACAACCATGGAGATGTTTTATGCAAAAAAAAAAAAAAAAAAAAATCGCCGTTGTCCAAATAAAGGAGAGGAGGAGGATGAGAAGGAGGAAGAAGGAGGAGGAGGAAGAAGGAAGAGGAGAAGGAGGAATGGTTGGCTGGCTGAACTCCATCTCAGACAGAACAGGTGCACAAACACTGAAGACCATGAAGTCATGCCCACAAAGCTCAGCCCTCAGAAGCATCAGGAAGAAAAGCAGAGCCAGGCACATAGAGGTCACAGATAAAGTACATGATTTGGCCCTCCGGGTATTCACAAAAAGAGTGTTGACTTTTTTACAATATTTAACATCAGGGTATTTTATACTCACAAAAACACAGATTATCTGGATCCTCAATTCAAAATGGATGGCAGGCACCACAGTGCACATGTATCCAACTGAGCTGGGTGTCAGCTCCTGCCTATCTCCAAGCAGGTGCGTTTCAGGCAGGAAAGACAGGCAGAGCCTAGGTCTGTCTTCTGCAGGTCCAGGGTCAGTCATTCCTAACCCCCAGCACACTGAGCCCGCCCTTAGAGCGGCCTCCCCACGGCTGCTTCTCTGTGTCCTCAGAGGCTCTGTGTGTGGTCACAGGATCTGCTGGCTTGAGGGTGGATGTGATAAGGTGATACCGACCATTCTGTTGCTATAACTAAATGTCACAGTAGACACGGTATATGACGCCTGGGTCAGCGCACTCCCATTCTTCTTTTTCCCGGGGAGGACAAAGTTTTCCATCAACCATCAGCCTTCACTGTTTCACCCTAGGCCTAGACCAATTTACCAATATGTCTGCCTCTAGGCATTGTTACTGTGATCTTAATCAGCAAGATTCTTCTACTATAAAACAAGAAGAAAGGAGCAAGGTCCTACCAGCCCTCTTCAGAGATATGTTTATAGGCAGGTAAGACAGGGTTTTGTGTGCATTTATTGAGCATCTACTTTATTCCATTTTCTGGAGTGTGAGTTATATATGCTTCATATCATTTAATCTTCACTACAACATTGTGAGGTAGGTAGCATAATCCCACCTTACAATTCAGCATCTAAATCTACCTATCATGTTCAAGGTCCTGAGTTTGATCATCACTATCATGCAACTCCTGCCCCCCCCAAAGTCAAATAAATAAAAGTAGCACAGCCAACATTAAAACCATGGTGTAATTACAAACCCAGCGCTCCTACCAGATCACCACAGTCATTTCTAGAAAACTACCCAATATATGGGGCCGTCTCTGCCTTAATTTCTCAGCAAAGGGGCTGAGAAAAGGAGCCAGACTAGTGGTTGAAGATTTAAATTGTCCCCATGAAGGCTTTCACAGTTCTCTTAATGCCTCAAACAAGCCACCTCTCTATGGGTCTCACTTTCTTTTTCTACCTCATCAACTACTTAACATTCTGCATCGGGGAGTAGGATCAGCCCTGATCACTCTGAACAGGATCATCGAATGGGTCCCTTTCCCCATCCCAAGCAGATAGTATAGAGTTCATCACTGGACAGAAAAGGTTGTCAAAGAAAGACAAAGGCTGCAATGTGGCCTTTGAGAGCACCCTAGTAGCTTCCCTAGCCCCTGCACCATACCTGGCAATGTCTTTGGCAATTTGCTCATTGGGACAGTTGACAAAAACGATGGAGTAAGTACCAGAGACGTAGCTCCCAGTGAGGGAGGAGTGGAACTGGAGGCTAAGGGTCCTGAGCATAGGATACGTCAGCACAACTGTCAGGATCTACATGGCAGAAAAGAGAAACACAGGTCAATGACTCTTGGCTCCACCAGACTGAAATCACTGTCATCCCCACCCACGCTTTACGACTTAGAATATTCATGCCCCAGGGCTGGGAAGCTAGCTTAGTTGGTAAAGTGCTTGCCAAGTGGCTTGAGGACCTAAGGTAGATCCCCACAAGCCACAGAAAAAAGGTGGATTTGGTGGTCCCTGCTTATAATCTGAGCACTGAAGATGCAGGGACAGGCAGATCCCTGGGGCTCAGTGGCCAGCCAGCACCTACTCCACGTGCTCCGAACCAATGGCAGACACTAGTGCAAAAACAAGGGTAAGAGCACTGGAAGTTCCTTCTTCAATCCCCAGCACCCACACACTGGCTCACAACCATCTGTAACCCAAATTCCAGGGGATCTGACATCCCCTTCTAGCTTCCGAGGGTACCAGGCACAAGTGTGGTGTAAGCAAAACACCCACACATTTAATACACATTAAATAAATAAAGGACAAGATGGTGAATGATATGCTAAGCTTGACCTCTGGCACACATATGTGCAAAGTGCACCCCCCCCCACACACACAAATTTACTCACACCTACACAAAATGTTCATGCCCGTACATTTTCCTCTGCATTTTATAGCTAAAGGGAAAAAAATGGAGGATCACAAATCAATAAAGCAAAAAACTTTCTCAAAACTATAGCTTTAATTGTTGAAGCCAGAATTTGAACTCAAGTCCGGATGGTTTCAAATCCAGTTTCATTGCACAAAACTGTCACTGCAGGTAATTGTAGCTGCCACTCACTAAACAGCTAACATCCCCTGAAGACTGTGAGAATGATAGTCTTTCCTAACGTTTTAGTGAATAACTTCACTGGCATTTATTTATCTGCACCAGGTGCTCTGCCTACTTTAAGGCAAACATACCAGCTGTACAACTATGCAACACATGCTACTGGGACTGATGATTAGAAGGACCAAGAGGAAGCCTCGGAGGCCGAGACGAAACAGGCTTTCCTGCGGAACGTGTTTTCTGTATTGGTTGCTTTTCTCGTCATCCTAACGAGAAGCACACTCTGAGAGGCTGAGAACGGCGGCGGGCAAGAGGCAGGGACCAGACAGAGGCTGGCCAGACTCTAAGCCACAAGGCCCATTCCCAGCACCCGACTTCCTCCAGTTACCAGCCTCTACCTGAAAGCTTCATAAACTCCAAAGCCTCGCCATCAGCAGGGAAGCAAGTGTTCAAACACACGAGCCTACCCAGGACATTTCATGTTCAATCCAGAACACTCCTACTGGGCGTCCAGAGGCTCATGGCCATCTCAGAACGCAAACATACTCAGTCTATCTTGAGAACTCCTCATAGTCTTACAGTTCCAACCCTACTCAGAAGTTCAAAGTCGGGAGACTCAAGGCAATCTCCTAGCTGTGGGCCCTAATGCTGTGTAATCTAAATGCATACAATACTTGTAGTGTGAATACTCATTACCAAAGGGAAGAATAGGGGTTCAGCATGGAAAACTGAGCCCAAGCCTGACTGAACCCCAGCAGGGCAGACACAGATCCTGCAGGTGGGTGCCATGTGTCTGTGGACTTAGTTAGTCCTCCCCTCCAGCCCTGTCCAAGGCGGTATGTGAGCTTCACCACTGCCTACAGCTCTCCTCACGATATGCCCCGTATTTCCAGCATCCCCAAGTTTCTTGTGGTAAACCGAGGCTTCACCTGTAACAGCTTCATACTCAGCCCACTCCGGAGCCCCGTCTGTGAAATCTGACCCTCATCACGTGTTTCCTGGCCTCACAGCTTTGTGGAGCCTCCATGACCCTGTAGCTCTTGAACTTTACGTGCCTGTAAGACCATATCGTGAGCGTGAAGCCAAGTTTGGCTGCCAGCTCAGCTGCAACCTGTCCCACTTAGAGCACAGAGGCAGGTCTCTCTGTGTGTCTTGGAGATTAAACGTGGAAAGGCGGGTTTAACGCATGCCCTTAGCAACCTGTTCCCGCCAGGCACTCTAGAGGCACACTATGTTCAAGCCATCTCTTTTCAAGTGAATTTGCAATGGAGCTTTCCACAGACAGGGTCACGGACAGGGTCTGGCCCTTTGGGTTCGTTTCCTAATACCCCGGCATCTAAGTCCAGGTTTCTCCAAAGGCCCGAGCTATTTAACAAGTATAGCTGTGTCCTTCATGCCCACTCTGCCCTGAACTTCAGGCTAAATTAGCTGCTTCACTTCTCCCGGTGGAGTCCTTCTCTTAGGTGGGGTTTCTACTGCCATAACAAAAACATCATGACCAAAAAGGAACTTGGAGAGGAATTATTTGCTTATACTTCCATACTGCCGTTCATCATTAAAGGAAGTCAGTGGAGGAACTCACAACAGGGCAGCTCCTGGAGGCAGGAGTCGATGCAGAGGCCATGGAGGAGTGCTGCCTATTGGCTTTCTCTCCACGGCTTGCTTCCCATAACTTACTCAGCCTGCTTTCTTATAGAAACCAGGACCACCAACCCTAGGGGTGGCTCTACTCACAACGGGCTGGGCCCTCCCTCATTGATCGCTAATTGAGCAAATGTCCTACAGCTAGGTCTCATGGACCTTTCCTCAGCTGAGGCACCTTGCTCTCTGATGACTCCAGCTTGTGTCAAGTCGACCACAAAAGCAGCCAATAGAATCCTTGTTCCACTTAGAAACCTCAGAAGCACAATCCTTCACTCCCACACATACACAGCCATTCCAGCCTTCTGAACTCCCACCACAGCGACCCACAACTCCAAACTGTTTCAGATTCCTCCCACCAACCAATTCCAGAGACACAATAGGGGCAGGTTTATAGCACCAACAGCCCTACTTCTTAGCACCAATCTTCCATATCAGCTACTCTTGACACTGTTCTGCAGATGCCTGACATGAAGCAAATTAAGAGACCCTGCCTCAAATAATAAGTAGAGAGCAATAGTGGAAGATTCTCAACATTGACATGTGTGTGAACTTAAACAAACACATGAACACAAATATGTATGTATGTATGTATGTATGTATGTATGTATGTATGTATGTATACACACACACACACACACACACACACACACACACACACATACACACACCTCCTTAAAAAATCAGAAAATTGAGCCAGGAACACTCAGAGAGGCAAGAGGCAGGTGGATCTGTTGAGTTCGAGGTCAGCCTGGTCTACAAATCCAGGACAGCCAATGCTACACAGAGAAACCCTGTCTTGAAACAAACAAACAAAAATCAGAAAGTTTAAAACAAACAAAATAGTAGTCCATCGTGGTGAAGGCAACGTGTGGACGGTGGTTGTTCACATTTTGCCATACCAAGAAGCAGAGACTGGAGAAGCCAAATTATAAACATCGAGGCCCACCTCCAATGACCCGCTTCCTTCAAACAGTGCCACTAGCTGGACACCCAGTATTCAAACACACGAGCCTGCAGCAGACATCCAGATCATAATACCGCTTAAAGTGGATCTGAAATAACAAGTCACATATTGCGGGAAGGGCATCCACTAAGGCACTAACCAACTCCAAGGCTATGGAAGACCCTGTTTTACATGGCTCCTGTGTGGGTGGTTGGAAACAAGGCTGGCTAGAATTACAAGGAAAGGGTGAAGCTAGGTAGTTTGGCTTAGATTCAGGTTACAGGTACTTCGGAGGTTTGTAAGTAGGACAGTAACAATATGGCAAATCGGAGGAGAATGATGAGCAAGGGAGGGACAGAGACTGAGCAGGAAGAGTCCTGTTTAGAAGGTCACTTCACTGGCCCAGAAAAAGACCTCAAGATCCTGAGCAATGTGACAGCAACTGTGTGAGAAAACATCTGGGATGTCATTTTCTAATTAATAACAAGACACTTGAGAGGGAAAGAGCAGAAGTACCTTCCATTCCAGGGTCATCACAGAACCATTAAAAGGGACAGTGGGAACCTAGTCAGGCTGGGACCCAGCCAGGCTGAACCACAGCTGCCCTCCTGCCTCCCAGCCCAGGCTTACATTTTATTCTAGTGAACATCTGTCCTCCCTCCATCTCACACTGTTACATGAGTCCTGACTGTAGCTCCTGATGGGCCCTGAATAATAATTCCGTTATCATTTTCCTTTTTAAAAAATGTTTCATGTGTCTGTGTGTTTTGCTTGCATTTGTATCTGTGAGCCATATGCATGCCTGGTACCTGCAGAGGCCGGAAGATTCCCCTGGAACTGGAGTTACAGATGGTTGTGAATTATCATGTGGTTGCTGGGAATCAAACCCAGGTGATCTGCAAGAGCAGCCAGTTCTCTTGGCCACTGGGCCATCTCTCTGGCTGACTGTGCAATGTTTTTAATGTCCTTAGTTGGGGTTTAATGTTCTGGCTGAATTCTTCTTCCCGCCTTAGTACTTTCACTAGTGCCTCCACTTCAACACCATCTCCTACCCTTCTGAACTGACCCAGTAACCATGCAGCAAGAAAGAGCCAGCCTCTTGAAGGAAGCTGTCACTGTTCTTTCTTTAAAAAAAAAAAAAAAAAGATTGATTTATTATTTATATAGCATTCTGCCCTCATGTGTGCCTGAGCACCAGAAGAGCGCACCAGATCTTACTGTAGAGGGTTATGAGTCACTGTGTGGTTGCTGGGAATTGAACTCAGGACTTCTTAACCTCTGAGCCATCAGCTGGAGAGCCCATCACTATTGTTTCTTTAGTGAAAATTCACTTGGTTATAGGGAGAAGTTCAAAGGGCTAGGGCGGGGTGTGGCTCTTCACTCTTGCTGACAGCCTGTGGCTTCTGACTGGGTAAAAGTTACTTCCCCTTCTTCCATCAGCCTCAGCCTGGAGGGGCCTCGTGCTGCCTGATTCACAGTTGCCAGGGATAAGAAGAGAAGTGCCATCTGAAATCACTAACTCAATAAGGGAAGGGCTGTGCCTTATGACCACAGCCCTAGCTCAGCTCTTGGCGAGTGGCAGGCTCTCAAGAAATACCTGCAGGCTAGTGAGATGGGCTTGGCACT